ATGGTGTTTTGTCTGTGTTTATGACCATGTGCACCATCTAGATGTGAGAAAAGGACATTTTTATGAACAGACCATTGTCTGATGAGCTTTCTATTGTATCACTTAATGAAATATACAGTTTTATGTTGGAAAATGTACAAGCACCCTGTAATTCTGGAAAAAATGTCACAGAATTTTTTATGGTGATTTTCTGTCCACATAAGCTGCCCTTTTTACTGTGTGTATTACAATCATTTAAAAAAAAAAAAATTCAGTGCCTTACTATGTAATCTCAATATTGTTTCAACACTGGAAAAAAAATCTGCATGGAGTAGGATTTACATTGAAACCATTTTCACACTGAAATTGCAAGTACAGTTTTAAAACTACAAATAATTAAATAGAAATGGCAAGTAACACATTATCTTAGGTGTGAAATTTTAAAGTAGACTGAAATAGTTTTTTGGTTACACTTTATTTCGATGGTCCACTTTAGACACTACAAACTACCTTTGCAACTAAATGTCGTCGAGTTAGAAAACTAGTAGACTGGTAGGTTATGGTTAAAGGAGTAGTTCACTTTAAAAAAAAAAAAAACATTTGCTCATAATTTACTCACCCCCATGTCATTCAAGATGTCCATGTCTTTCTTTCTTCAGTCGAAAAGAAATTAAGGTTTTTGATGAAAACATTCCAGGAAATTTTCTCCATATAATGGACTTCAATGGGAACCAAACGGTTCAAGATCCAAAAGACAGTTTCAGTGCAAACTGCACACTTTTCAAATGGCTTTAAACAATTTCAGGCGATGAATAAGGGTCTTATCAAGTTAAACAATCAGTCATTTAAAAAAATAAGAGATATTAAGCAGACAGTCTACTAATATTTTAATGAGAGATAGTTGGCATGTAGTTGCAAAGTTATTCAGTAGTAGAGTGTCTAAAGTGGAAATAAAGTGTTACCATATTTTCTTGTAACACGTTCTCCAATAATCTTTGTTTATATATAAATTTGAGGGGGAAAAAAAACTACAGTGAAGGTTATGAATAAACGAAAGAATCCCAATGCCCGTCACTCTCAGCCTTTTTAAAGGCATACATTTGCACGCATCTGTTTACAGTTTGTAGACATGCTCGGGTTTGGCTGTGGGCATCTGAGTTGCACTCTGCTCCTGTAGCGCCGTAGGAGGCCGACGCTACTCAGTGGCTCCTTGTTTAGTTGCTATTTTATTACTGCTGCCTGTTTTTCATTGAGTGTCCCATCTGACTCTTTACAGTGGCAGCAAACAGCTCCCAAATGCAACACTAACGGTACGCCAACGTGGGACAATGCCGTTCCAGAGGAGAAGACATCAAGCAGGCCAGTTTAGGGGCTATAACGGGAGGGCTTGAGCTACTCGATACCCCCCTTTTAAGTACCAGATCCCCATTTCATACCCTGAATGGTAATTTAAACTCCCAAACAAGAGTGCAGCCCCTCTAAATAGGCTGCTAACAATATGGAGAGTTATTTAATAGCTCAGTTAAACCTTCAGGCAACTTGCTGTTCCTTCTTTTCTCACGTGGTTGCATAACAAATGCCCATATTTTTGTTCTAGCGACTTCTGAAATGCTTACCCAAGCCCTATAAACCGCAAGGAGACTTCTTTCTCCTCTAATAGCACTTCTGATAATAAAACGCCACACTTGAGTAAACGACGCATTGGTATAGTAAAGTTCAACTAGCGAGTGATGTCAGACAGGGTTCGGGGGTGGGGGGGAGCTTGTAAATGAACTGAATTGGCTCCTCAGTAGAGAATGACAGAGAGATATCTTACTGTCCGGCCATCCAGAAGTAGAAATCGAGTGTAAACGCTGAGCTGCCCAGAACAGAGAGAGCCTTTTCAAGGGCAGCGGCAATAAATTGTGGTTTTTGACGTTTTGTTTTCTTTGCTCCGTTTGTTCAAAAATTATGATGGGGAACCGTCTCCAGAAAACTAAAAAGAGTCTTTCTGAAGATGTTTGCTTACCAGGGAGAATCTCTGCCAACTATTGGGCGCAGCTCAAACCAACCAAACTCTACTAACTAGATTTTCTGAAGTAAATGCAAGTGGTGTTTTACCTCTTCACCACGATGATTGCCAGGGCGTTGCTGTGCAGTTTGTGTTCTGAGGAGGTATTTAAAGGGGTGGTTTACTGCTTTTTTTCTTTGCATGATTGTGGTTATGGGGTGCAATATAACATGGATTTGTGGTTTTTCTTTTTTAAAAAGTCTTATTTTTCATAAATTTCACCTTTACTGTAAGTCGCTTCCTCTGTCATTTGAACGACCGGTTGACTTCCTGAGTCTATGAAACCACCCCCTCAGAAACAGGCAGTGGGCTCAGACTGGTTAGTTTGGGGCAGTGTGATGTGATTGGCTAAACTGTGTTGTGCACGTTGTCTGGATAGTTCACGCCCATTACCTTTACAGGCGAAAGTTTCTTGTTGAATCTGGCATTGAATTCGTGGAGATTCTGGAAGTTGTCTCTCGTAAAATGCGTTGCACAGAGAGCTAAATTACGATTGTAATTTTCAGGAACATAATCAAACATAAATTGTATCCATTTTTGACAAACTACAACGTCCGTGGGAATCCCGAACAAGACCTGACAGCTGGGTGAACATAACACACTTTCGATGAGCATCTAAGCATCTACTTACATATGCCATAGCTTGTTTCTGCTTCTTTTTTGCCTGTGTTTTGACAGATTCTGTACTCTTTCAGAAGACGTGTCATAGCGCCCCCTACCGTATAACGGTGAAGCTGGAAATTTTCGTCAGTGTGGGGAAGCGCTGTCTCATAAATGACAGAAAATTCTGGCAATGGCGGGGAAGTGTTGTCTTATAAATTATGAAAAATTCCAGCAAAGGTGTGGAAGTGTTGTCTCATAAATGACGAAAAATTCCTGCAAATTCCAGCAAAGGTGTGGAAGTGTTGTCTCATAAATGACGAAAAATGGTGGGGAAGCGCTGTTTTATAAATGACGGAAAATTCCGGCAATGGTGGGGAAGTGTTGTCTCATAAATTACGGAAAATGGTGGGGAAGCATTGCTTCATAAATTACGGAAAATTACAGCAATGGCGGGGAAGCGTTGTCTCATTAATGACAGAAAATTCCGGCAATGGCGGGGAAGTGTTGTCTCATAAATTATGAAAAATTCCAGCAAATTCCAGCAAAGGTGTGGAAGTGTTGTCTCATAAATGACGAAAAATGGTAGGGAAGCACTGTTTTATAAATGACGGAAAATTCCGGCAATGGTGGGGAAGCATTGCTTCATAAATTACTGAAAATTCCAGCAATGGCAGGGAAGTGTTGTCTCATAAATTACAGAAAATTCGAGCAATGCTGTTGAAGCGCTGTCTCATAAATTATGGAAAATTCCAGCAAAGGTGTGGAAGTGTTGTCTCATAAATACGAAAAATGGCGGGGAAGTGCTGTCTCAAAAACGCCGAAAAATTCCGGCAATGGCGGGGAAGTGTTGTCTCATAAATGACGAAAAATGGTGGGGAAGCGCTGTTTTATAAATGACGGAAAATTCCGGCAATGGTGGGGAAGTGTTGTCTCATAAATTACGGAAAATGGTGGGGAAGCATTGCTTCATAAATTACGGAAAATTACAGCAATGGCGGGGAAGCGTTGTCTCATAAATTACAGCAAATTCCGGCAATGGCGGGGAAGTGTTGTCTCATAAATTATGAAAAATTCCAGCAAATTCCAGCAAAGGTGTGGAAGTGTTGTCTCATAAATGACGAAAAATGGTGGGGAAGCACTGTTTTATAAATGACGGAAAATTCCGGCAATGGTGGGGAAGCATTGCTTCATAAATTACTGAAATTCCAGCAATGGCAGGGAAGTGTTGTCTCATAATTTAAATTACAGAAAATTCGAGCAATGCTGTTGAAGCGCTGTCTCATAAATTATGGAAAATTCCAGCAAAGGTGTGGAAGTGTTGTCTCATAAATACGAAAAATGGCGGGGAAGTGCTGTCTAAAAAACGCCGAAAAATTCCGGCAATGGCGGGGAAGTGTTGTCTCATAAATGACGAAAAATGGTGGGGAAGCGCTGTTTTATAAATGACGGAAAATTCCGGCAATGGTGGGCAAGTGCTTTCTCTCTGCTAGGTCTCACTATGTTCTTCACTAATATAAGGTTATGCCATGTGAGGGAACCAGTCTCTAGTATTTTCTTAATGTAATTTTTTCTCTCCCTTCTTCACAATTAGGTTGATTCCAAGGTCACCACTGTTATAAAGTTTCCGGTCAGAAGCGTTCAGAGGTGCATGGCCCTCCCTGGAGCCTGAAACGCTTGGTGTTTGCAACATGGTGCCCTGCAAAGCGAAAAGGAAGGAGCAAGGTCATCAAAATAACTCGAAACTCCTCTGCTTGAATTTATTGGCCCGAGGTAAGCGCTCTCAGCCTCCGCTGAGTCATTAAATGTAGAGCTGATAAGTTAAAATGAGTAGAGGGACGATGACATCATGACAGGGCTAAATGGTGTTTTATAGTGTTTCGTTTTCGCTTTGGCGAGAAGCGTCGAGTTCGGACGGAGGCTGCATGAGGGCTTGGGTGTGAAGGCTGATTGTGGGGAGATTTGTTTGTGTTGAGTTGTCTAAATGCAGTGCAGTTTTTAATGTGCTTTTGCTTTCACAAAAACCTAGAGATATAAGATTGCTTGTCATACGCATAAACAAACAAAAGCATCAAATGTCAATCATTCACTTCATAGAGGAGCCATCACAACTCATCAAGTTAAAGGGGAAGTGTGTAAAAGTATGAATATTCCCTATGTCTTCCATTTTTGGTGGAGTCTATGAATACATTGGCGTCGTATTCCTTAAGGTAGACGTGGATCAGCTGAGCGCGAGCTTGACTAACGTGACCAGCCAGAAATGAAAGCTTTAGCATAATATCTGCCAGGAAGACTTAATTGTTACGTCACTTATTACCATCTCATCTACCCAATTGTGTTCTAATACTTGTGTTATAAAAGAGGTACTTACACATGTCTGAGTTTGCAGATGCTGATGCTTCCATTCCCCTCCATCCTCCACCACCACCACCACCACCAGGATGGTCCCTTCCCATACCTCACAGGGGGACGGCTGCACCCCTGCCTTCGTCTTCAGGCAGGAAATGCAGAGTCCGGACCATCGGTTTGCGAGCTAAGGACGGGGCCTATACACAAAAGAACTTTATATCATAATATTGCTTGCTGGGCTGTTAATAAATGGTCAATTGTTACAGTATTATTCTCCAGAGTCTTTCTGGTAGAACTGATGCTACACTTGATTTATACAGATTTTTAGGGTAAACAACCTATGAATGTCTCTTTTGGAGCTGAAAATGCAAGCATTTTCTGAATCATTTCTGTATTTCTATTCAGTAATTCTGAACAAAACAATGAGTGCTCACCAATGCAAGACATGTCACCAATGCTAGGGTTGTACGGGGCATTGCATATGGTGTTGCTCATGGTTTCTAGGGTGTTCTGGGTAATTTTTCCACATCTTTTATTTCCTACAATGCACAAATCGTGAATCTGATTGCTTAGAAATGAAATAGCACAACTGTCATTCATGGCTGTATAGCACAAATGGTGCAGAATGAGTTATGCGACAACGTTGGGGATTTGAATGAACCCTTAACCTTGTGACAAGACAAATAATATTGCTTAAATATACTACATTGCCTTTTAATCGTTTAGGAGGCCACGAAATTAACCAGACTTGTTTCTTTGTTATAATCTGTTGTTTATTTTCCTTTTCCAAATGCTGAGTGCATTGCCATTTAACAGAAATTCACATCAGCTGCCGTCTTGACAAGTTGTTTATCTCTCGAAAAATGCAAAGTCTTGAGTTAATTACGCAATCTTTTGCAAGAACCCTGCTTCGTTTACCTCTCATTGTCTGCTATGTTGTAAATTGTGTTTGACAGCAGAATTAGATTAAAACTCAAAGGCTTCCTCTCAGACCAGTACAAAATCATGTCTGACAGCTTGTGTTGGGTTTTAGGCCCGTATCGAGAGTGATGGCTTTCTCCATGCTGTTTATGAGACATTCCATTACTTCCTTTTCACTGTTGGCGTTTTCAGAGATGTGCAGGTGTGCCGGGCATGCTTTAGGTTGTCATGCCAAGTCATGCTTTAGGTTGTAGCTTGCATATTTTGTAGCATATTGGCTACACAGTATTTAATTTTTTTTTTTTCATTTTACATTTTTATTCATTTAGCTGACGCTTTTATCCAAAGCGACTTACAATTGCTATATATGTCAGAGGTCGCACGCCTCTGGAGCAACTAGGGGTTAAGTGTCTTGCTCAGGGACACATTGGTGTCTCACAGTGGATTCGAACCCGGGTCTCTCACACCAAAGATATGTGTCGTATACACTGCGCCATCACCACCCATTTCCTCTGCACCATCACCACGCCATTTCACAGTGTATACATAAAAATACTGTAAATGGAAGTACAGTACCCTTACTGTAAAACGTATTCACAGTAAATTACTGGCAACAATTAGCCAGTAAGTTACTGTAAATACAACTAAAATCACAGTATTGAGTTGTTTTTGATTTTACAGTGTATACATAAAATACTGTAAATGGAAATACAGGACCCTTACTGTAAAACGTATTCACAGTAACTTACTGGCAACACTTAGCCAGTAAGTTACTGTAAATACAACTAAAATGAAAGTATTTGTTTTTGATTTTACAGTGTATACATAAAATACTGTAAATTGAAGTACAATATCCCTACTGTAAAACCTATTCACAGTAACTTACTGGCAACAATTAGCCAGTGAGTTACTGAAAATACAACTAAAATCACAGTATTTAATTGTTTTTGATTTTACAGTGTATACTGTAAATGGAAGTACAGGACCCTTACTGTAAAACCTATTCACAGTAACTTACTGGCTTATTACTGGCAACAATAAGCCAGTAAGTTACTGTAAATACAACTAAAATTACAGTCTTTAATTGTTTTTGATTGCAGTGTATACATGGAAGTACAGTACCAACAAAAACAATTAAATACTGTGATTTTAGTTGTTTTTACAATAACTTACTGGCTAATTGTTGCCAGTAAGTTACTGTGAATACGTTTCACAGGTACTGTACTTCCATTTACAGTATTTTATGTATACACTGTGAAATACTGTAAATGGAAGTACAGGACCCTTACTGTAAAACACATTCACAGTAACTTAGTGGCTAATTGTTGCCAGTAAGTTACTATAAATTTTATGGTACATTTTTTTTACAGTGATGATAAGTGGAACATAGCAGGTTGTCTAAATTACTAAACCCAAACTGAATACCAAGAGCTGAAAGTCATTTCTAACTTTACTGGCAGTCCCAATACAGCGTTTCTAAACTGAGCTATATAAATGACTCTAAGGGACAAGTGAAAACCAGAGCAAACTGTTTCAACTCCACATTCCTCTGTTCTTTGCAGGACGTCAGTCGCAAGATCTGCAGTGCATTACAGGAAAACATACGGAGTGTGTCATCTTTATCATCATCTTCATCCTCTACGTTCACAAATGAACAAAGAAATGTTCTTGCTTTTCATTTCCACCATCTATATCTGCACAAGCACTAGCTGAAACAGTCCCTTGATTTTAAAGCAAGCAAGGAAGGAAGGAAACTCAGATTTTATGGTTTGCTTTGGGTGGGGGGCAGGTGGACGTATAGCCGCTCTTTCAACCTATAAGCCACGACGGGACGTTGTAAGTAAGTGATTTGAACGCCGTGTTTGTTTATAGAATTTGATCTAAGTTCATAATTAGCTTAAACCTGATTAGGCAAGAGCTAAAGAGAGGACAGCTGGAACTGCTTTTTGGAGAGAGAAGGAAAAAATGAAAAACTCAAGGTTTTTTCTTTCTCTTTGCAGACAGAGAAAGCCAATGTTTCTAATTCCTCGACTGATGGAACTCAGTTGGAAGGAAACTTTTTTTTGGAACTAGGTAAAGAAAGACACACACACACACACACACACACACACACACACAAAGAAAATTAAACCATTTCTCATTTTTTCTGTGGAACACAAATGAGACATTTTTAAGAATGTTCACGCTGTTCTTTTCAACACAATAAAAAATGTAAAGCTATGACTTCTCAAGCGCCAGAAAGGACAAAAAAGCATCATAAAATAGTCCATACTCTTAGAAGAAAAGGTTCTATATAGAACCTTAAAAGGTTCTAACAGCGCTACATATTTGGAACCCCTAAAAGGTTCTATACAATCTTAAAAAAGGGTTCCTCTGGGTTCTATATAGATCCCTGGGGTTCCATACTTGGCTATTAGAACCTTTTACCAAAAAAAAAAAAAATTGTTCTATATAGAACCATTTTGGAGTTCAATATATGAAGCGGGATGGAACCATTTCTGGTTCTAAATAGAACCATTTCTTCTAAGAGTGATATATGACTCAAGACAAGTCAAAAGTCAGGATACACTTGGTGCATAACGTTTGCTCACATTGACGTAAATCCTGACACACTTTAATGACGCAATTAAAGGAAAAAATGGGTAAAATAATACATTTTTAATTAGACTGAAATGTTTTGATCAAAACTTGACTATTTAGTATGAGATTTACTAGCATATAAAATTAACATGAAACATATAAGCTAAAATTAAAATGAAAACTATTATAAAAGCTAATTCAAATGATTCATACAACTAAAATAACACTGGCTGTTAATTAAAAATGTACTCAATCTGAATTTCAATCCGTATTGGGTTGGAGAAAAAAATGGCTGAACAAGACATTTTGCATTTAGTGAATAACCAACTTAAAATAGTTGAAACGAAGTTTGAATTAAAAAAAGTTGTTGTTATGATTTTCAGTACTGAACATTTCCCTTGATTCTATTATTTTGGTCAGAAAAATGTTCCTTCAGAGATTGTTATAAACCTGGCCGTAGTTCAGAAGTTACATGTTTCCTGAGCTAATAAAATCCTGTACACCTTGATAGCTGGTAGTCAAAAGTCTAGCTGGATTAGACCGATTAAGTGTTTGAAAAAGAGTTTGTTGAGTTGAGGCAAAAATTGACACTTGTCGGATTGTAAAAGGAGAGAGTGAGACAGAAAGGCTTGTGGGGGTTATGGCGAGTTCATGGCACTGATCTCTGGTCAGTGTTGTGTATTTCAGGTGTTCTCAGTCAGCACCAAGGCTCTGTTCTCCCTTTACTACTTAGCGGTCAATGGGCATGTGAAAGGGCTCCTTTCTTTCAGCCTGCTACTCCATCAACTCCCTGCTTACTGCCACTCTCTCTCTCTTTCTCTCAGCCCTGCTACACTGCAAGGATTCATATAGTCACTGAAACCAAGCCAACCAAACAAAGACATCAATTATGCTGCTTTGACACTCCAGGTTTTACTTCAACACGCACATTCGCACACATTTCTTTCATATTCCTCCATATTTCTCTCCTTCCTTCCTTTACACCTCTTAGGCATTCAGAATGGGCTGGCAAGCTTCAAAAGAGACTAAAGCACCATTAAATGACTATAGAAATCAAGTGTGTACACTGATGGCATTGTTTATTTGCATGCTGTTTGCATTGTTATTCCACTACTTGCAGTTACTATATACTACTAATACTTGCTTATTTGAATATTTAAAATGTAATTTATTCCTATTTTCAGCATCATTTTACTCCAGTCTTCAGTGTCACATGATCCTTCAGAAATAATTCTAATATGGTGATTTGATGCTTAAAGGGATAGTTCACTTTGAAATTAATGTTTTAGCTTACCTCAAGGGCATCCAAGATCTAGGTGTCTTTGTTTCCACAGTAGTTTCAATTTTGATATTTTTAGGTCAAACCGTTCTTGTCTGTCAGTCATATAATGCAGGTCTATGGTCACCACCTCAAAGAGCATGCACAGAGAAGTCCAAATTAAACATGATTTAATGACTCGTAAATGTAAGTACACATTGATGGCCTAAGACACGAAACGAGCGGTTTGTGTGAGAAAACGAACAGTATTTATATTGTTTTTACCACTAAATCATATCAAAAATGTATTTCAAAGTGAACTATCCCTTTAAGTTTATCAAGCGATGAGAATAATTTTTGTGCGCAAGAAAACAAAAATAACGACTTTATTCAACTATTCATTTCCTTCTCTGTGGGCCGTGAGATTTCACGTAGTGAAACTGCGCAGTGCTTCTGTGCTGTACATCACATGTAAGCTCCCTATTGGATGACGCTGGTCATGCATGTTGCGTACAACACAGAAGCGTTGCGCAGTTTCACTACGTTAAATCTCAAGGCCCACAGAGAAGAAAACGTGCACCATGTTGCCTTGATTTGAACTTTTCTCGGTTTCTTTTTTACACTACATGTGAAAATGTCGAACATAGCATGTCTTGAGGTGTCACGTTTAATGCATACAAGCAAAAATCAAATTTGAGAGCAACGCCAGAGGGCAAGTTTACAGCAAATAAGGACTTCAGTTTCAGTCTGAGATATCGTATGGCTTCAGAAGACTGATTTAGGAATTTAGCGCCTTTCTCAACTGATCCTCAACACTTGTCTCACCTCTCTTTTTCTTTATCGCTCTCTCTCTCAAGTTCTGGCCATACAGCATTGTTGTATGAGTCTCCATCTGGTTTCTATTGGTGAAGTTGAGAAGTCCAGGATGGAGTAATTGGCTGTTGGCCAGTGGATCTCTTTGTGGGAGACTGCGGACGGAGATATCTGGACTCAAGGAACCTGGGAGCAAAGAGAGCGGTCAGGGTGTCACACGAGGACTGCTTCCATTCTGCCATATTGACAAAGATTGATGCTCAGCCAACAATCCAAATGACATATTAAACATAACATCGAACATATACACATACAAATTAGTGATGGTGAAAAGTGCAGTTTGGTGAGATTGTGTTCTGTGGTTCTGTGCATTTTTTGTGGTTTTATACTAAAGGAAGATTGACAGATCATGAGAGTTTAAAGTCATAATGAAATTAATCCACACACATGTTATAGACTCTGAATTAGCATTATGAGGGCTTCATTATTTGAAACAATGAAAATAATTCTTCAGAACTAGAATTTCTACTACCAAATTCAACACCTGTTTCCGTTTTACTCATTCTGTTACATATAATACAACCTTCTGTACTTACTCTTTTTGACAAAATTGTTGTTGGTTGGATATTCATTGCAGTTTTTCCATGAAGTAAATGATTACGGAAGACAAGGATTTGCCGGAATTTACTTTTACGAGCAGATGTCTAGCAACAAATTATGCTTGTTAAACAGGAAATCTAAACTATTGCTTCTCCATAAAACTCATTGCAGATTGTAAGTAATCCTCAGGTATGTTTGTGGGATGAGCACAACTATTCTACACGAACTTCTATTGGGGCTTGGCTAGAAGAGACTTTTAATTTGAAATTTAACTTCCTTGGAATGAACTTCCTGCTCGTAGAACTTTCAAAAAAATATATTTTCCCTTTTTAGGACAAAAACAGGGGTGCGTTTTCCGAAAGCATCTTTAGCCAACTACGGTCGCAAGTTCTGTTGTTACTAATTATAGAGTTCAATGGAAATTGCGACCAACTTGCGACCATAGTTGGCTAACGATGTCTGTAACGTAACCAACATAGACATTGGGGGGCGACAAAATGACATAAAATATTAAAATCCTGCTTAGAATCATGGCACATTTTCAGGATCCTTTGATGAAAAGAAATGTCAAAAGAACAGCAGTTATTTTAACAAAAAATATACGTTTGTGGTGACATTATAAATGTCTTTACTGACATTTTGAAGCATCCTTAGTGAATAAAAGTTTTGATTTCTTTCTTGAAACATTTTTTGTATTGACCCCAGACTCTTGAACGTTATATTAAATAATTATTTATTGCATTAATATAGCATCGCTCATATAAGTGTCTTATATTTATAAGAAAACGAATAGTCGAATAAAGCTGTTATTTTTGTTTGTTTTTGCGCATAAAAAGAATTCTCGCCGCTTGATAAACTTAAGGTTGAGCCACTGTAGTCACTTGGACTATTTTAACAATGTCTTTACTAACTTTTCTGGGCCTGCAAATTAAATTACCCAGAAGCCCATAGAGGAGTGATCCAGCTCTCAGATTTCATCAAAAATGTCTTAATTTGTGTTCTGAAGATGAACGAAAGTTTTACGGGGTTGGAACAACATGAGAGTGAGTAACTAATTACTGACAGAATTTTCATTTTTGGAAACTATCCCTTTAATTAACAACTATCATTTGTGCCAAAACACCATTTTGAATGCGTGTGTAAATGTTTTTCTATTGTGCATCGTGATGTCTATTAATGTAAACATAATGACATGCTTTTTAACCCCTGAGGTACAATAAATGATATCACTCCCTTAAATATGACGTCAGAAAGATCAAACTATTACTCTAAAGCCATTTGTAATCTTATGGCCCAGCTTTAAGCGTCCACACTACCCTCTGATTCATTCTTCTTGTATCTCCTCCAGGAATACACGACTGTTGTTTGTTTGCTCGGATCAGAGCGTCTTGGGAATGGTTTCCATGCTGTGTGTTTGCGTGGCATAGAAAAAGTGTTTATGTGTTGCGCATGTGGTGACGGACGACCAGAACAAGGGCCTAAGATGTGTTTTCAGGTCTCAGGTTTGAGTCATTTCACGTCTGTGATCAATACAAACACGAGTCAGCTAATAAGTGGAAGTCTGTGATCTTTGCCTTTGATAGTGCGTGAGACAGTTCAGGGTTCCTAAATGACTTTCTCTTAAAACGAAACCAGTCGGCGTTGAGGTGCAGCAGTTAGCACTCCCTATGGGAATGAAGATCTCAGGAAATAATAATATAGTAGCCTTTTCGGGCAGTAAGAGCGACTTTTCTTAAAGGGATAGTTCACTTTAAAATTAATTTTTGGTATGTTTTAGCTTACCTCAAGGGCATCCATAGGTGTCTTTGTTTCCACAGTAGTTTCAATTTTGATAGCTTTAGGTCAAACCATTCTTGTTTGTCAGTCATATAATGCAGGTCTATGGTCACCACCTCAAAGAGCATGCTCAGAGAAGTCCAGATTAAACATGAAGTGATATCTCTGCTTACAATGAACGTTCAGTGCTGCAACTACTGCACCAACAGCAACATAACACACTATTTAAAATGATAAAAGTGAAATCGTTATCAACCCCCCCTTTAATGGAACTAAACCTGCCAAGTCTGAACACACCCTAAAAGATTTCAAAGTGAAGCATATTTCTCATCTTGGGCTACTCAATCTCTCTGTCTCTCCTCAGAGCAAAGCCGTGCTGAAGGAAATTGCTTTGGAGAGTGCCGATATTTTCATATTTCAGGGCCGGTATGTTTGCCTAGCACCTTGCAGAGAGAGCGAGAGAGTGCGCTGTTTTCTAAATGACGGGTAATAGGTGAGAATGTCAGCGGAATCTTGTGTGTGTGTGTGTGTGTGCAGTTTGGGGCCCCACTCCACCATGAGTGAATTTAACATTCGGTGCCAGATGCAGAAACTGTCAGCATGTTAGTCGAAGCCACGTTGCACAAAACCACGATGAACAAAAGTCGGTTCTTACATGACTTGTTCCCCCAGGAAACAGCAGTTCAAGGCCGGGTTCAGATGAAGCCGATAAAAATACACTTAACAAGATCCCTCACTCAACTCATTCATCAGAGAGCGGCTCTACGAGTGCCACCTGTTTCTGATACAAGCTAAAAGAAAGCAGGAAAATGCAGAAATGTCCCGAAACGTCAAGAACGGGAGTGACTCAGTCTCTGACACTGAACACGCTCAGCTCGCAAAGTAAAGAGTCTGTGATTGGTAAGGCTGGACGATATTCATAAATGTGTATTTGCTTTGAAATGGCATGACATTTTCATTTCAATCAACAAAATACAGCAAAAATCTAGTTATAGATAATAGATATATATATTTTCCACACAAGGACAAATGATATATAGGCCTAATCATATCCATAATCATATTTATTTGCACTAACAAACAGCAATATTAATCTGAAAAGACATTTTCACATGAAAAATACCAAATTAAGACTTCTAGGAACATTTTTGTTTTTGAGTGAAACCAATTCTAATGGTGTCTTTTTACATACTATTAAATAAAACATAACTTACAGTTGATGTAAGCATATCTCCACATGACCGCTCAATATTAGTCACAATGAAACCGAAATTGGTATTTCTTGTATTTTTGTATGGAATATTAACAATAAATTATCTGTGCGCATAATTTTTTATTCATGTGCCCTCGTGATCTCTAACCAAAATCACTTCCCTTCCCTCTTGCAGCAACATCTTTTCTCTTTTCTGATGACATGTTTAGGGCTGGGAAACCTGTCACTCACATGAGATCCACCAATAGCAAACCACAACCATCCAATCGATTTTTGTGGGCAAAATTAAGCCCCGCCTTTCATTTTTTTATTGTTCGAGAAGCCGTTTCCCTCGGATATACGTCACAATAGGGAAGAAAAGACTATCGCAACTTTAGTTTCATGGCAACTACATTTGATAGATGTTTATAAATTTACAATGTGTTTCATTAATTATTAACTACTAAATTATAGCAATATTCATGATGTTGTTTTTATATCATCAGTGAACGTAATGTGAATATTTAATTTATCAGCCAGGCAGATGAGCTACACTTTGTAGAAGTGTGAAATAATGAAGTATATCAACATTTTGGTTTCATTTTGGTTTTGGAGATCCTCGTGGGTTTTATGAGCTCCCATCTGAAAAACTGCCCCGATGAAAGCTCTTTCTGTGTGTTTTAGGGTTTTAAGATGACAGCACGCCGGTACCGAGCTTGTGCGTCACAGTTTATAAACTCAAGTGTGTGTGCGTACGCAGTGCTCGTATACCTGTGTGTGACTGGTAGGAATATGACGGCCAATCATAACAAGAGGACTTAAGGACGTGTTTGTGTAAGCACTGGAAATTTCTCGGTGGGAATAGCCTTTGCTTACCGAAAGCTCTGATTACGGCTGTTTGAACAGATGCTGGGCAGGGAGGCAGGAGAAGGATGTTCAGGTATAAAGACACAGTCTGTGGAGGCCGGGACCTTGAACCGTCCTGCAAATATTATTTTTCAACACCTGAGCATTTTCTGAAGACCTGAATAATGAGCCCTGGCTGATTCCAAATCAAAATTGTGCGCATGCAGGTGTCATTATGATCCATCAATCTGCCGAATAGAAGTCTGAACTCTGAACGCCCTCTATTCTGTAGCCATCCATTGGTTTATCCATGATTTTAAGACTGGAAAGCTTCCAAAGGACATAGGATATCCTGACTTTTGGTGCTCTGGTACACTTATGGAAAATGAATCTGACCTGTTTCACTTCAGCAGCAAACACAGAACGTTCCCCTAACGTTCCCGAATGGTTCCATGTAGGTTATTTTTAGATTCCATTTTTATAAAGTAAATAGAATGTTCCGGGAAAGTTCCCTTAACCTTAAGGGAAAGTTCTAGGAACGTTCTGGGAACCAAAAACTAACGTTCCCAGAACCTAAATTTGTTTGCAGGGATATTCCTAAAATACATTCAGTCAAAAAAAAAAAAAAAACACAGGTAAATCATATGGTGATTTAAAGGGATACTTCACCCAGAAATGAAAATTCTGTCATCATTTTCTCATCTCATGCCATTCCAAATAAGTTTGGTGAGCTTTCTTCTGTGTAAGACAAAAGCTGCTCTTCAATGAAAGTGAATGTGGATGGCTGTTAGGCTCAACAAAACAAAGAAAAAAACATATACAGGGATGCTGACCATTTTTTGAATTGGAAATGTAGTTCTATTTCTGAATTTAATGGTGGTGGCAAGCAGGTTGCAGATTTGGAATGTAACCATTAGAAAGTGGAATTTTAATTAGAAAAACATTGGATATACAAACCTTGTTTGAAAGCTTTGGGAAAAAAGTTCTAAAAGCCTTGAAGTTTAAAGGTTTATGATTGATTGATCGGTTGATTGATTGATTGACTGACTGATATGCGGAGCAGTGGGAAAGAACACAAAATTTTCTAGAATGCACTGTGTGTTGAATTCAGTAAGTTCCTCTTCCTGTCATTTCGTTTCGAATTCAAATTCAAATTCAACTTCCTGTGGCATGTGACCAGTTATTTAAAATCCACACTCATGAGTTGAAAGGGAGCCTATTTTTAATCTTAGTCTGTACAACATCTTCACTATATTACAAGTCTAACTTCATGAAGACTAAAGAATTTTACACACAAACCATATTAACTATAGTTTTATTTAATTTGATGGTGTTTTTTGCCAGTTTTGAAGCCTTTAGTTTACATACATGGACTATAGCGCACAGGACTTTTCCTCAAAATGCCAAAATTAAACAAA